CACCTGGATGGCTCAGTCAGATAAATGTCCAACTCTTAATTTTGACTCAGGTCAATTTGACTCACGGTTCATAGGTTCGAGCCCTGTGTCAGGCTCCACGCTGACAATGCAGAGGTCCTGCTTGGGGTTCTCTCTACCTCTATCTCCTCCCCTCTCCTGCTTGTGTTCTCTCCCTCCCTCCCTTCCTCTCTTTCTCTCTCTCAAAATAAATATATAAACTTAAAAAAAAAGAAAGAAATGTAACTGATTTCTATATGTTGTGATTTTATATCCTGTAACTTTGCTGAATTCATGTATTCTAGCAGGTTTTTGGTGGAGTCTTTCAAGTTTTCTACATAGAGTATCATGTCATCTGCAAATACAAAGTGTTTTATCTTCCTTGCCAATTTGTATGCCCTTTATTTATTTTTGGTGTTTGATTGCTGAGGCTAAGACTTCTAATACTATGTTGAATAGTAATAATGCAAGTGGGCATCCTTGTCTTGTTCCTGACCATAGGAGAAAGGCTTTCAGTTTTTCGCCATTTAAAGATGATATTACCAGTAGGTCTTTCATATGACCCTTATGATGTGGAGGTGTGTACCATCTACCCCTACTTTGCCGAGGGTATTTATCAAGAATGGATGCTGTGTTTTGTCAAATGCTTTTCCTGGATCTTTTGAGAGTATCATAGGGTTATTATCCTTTCTTCTATTAATGTTGTCTATCATATTGATTGATTTGAGAGTATTGAACCAGCCCTGAAGCCCGTTAATAAATCCCACTTGTTCATGGTGAATAATTCTTTTAATGTACTGTTGAATTCAATTTGTTAATATCTTGTTGAGAAATTTTGCATCCAGTTTCATCAGGGATATTGACCTGTACTTCTCCTTTTGAGTAGGGTCTTTGGTTTTGGAATCAGTGGTTTGGTAATGCTGGCTTTGCAGAGGGAGTTTGCAAGCTTTCCTTCCTTTGCTATTTTATGAATAATTTGAGAAGAATAGGTATTAACTCTTCTTTAAATGTCTGGTAGAATTTCCCTGGGAAGACATCTGGCCCAAGACTCTGATTTGTTTGGAGATTGTTGATAACTGATTTAATTTCTTTGCTGGTTATGGGTCTGTTCAAATTTTCTCTTTCTTCCTGTTTCAGTTTTGGTAGTGTGTAAATGTTTATGAATTTGTCCATTTCTTCTAGATCGCCCAGTTTGTTGGTATATAATTTTTCATAGTATTCTCTTATAATTGTTTGTATGCCTGTAGTGTTGGTTGTGATCGCTCCTCTTTCATTCATGATTTTATCTATTTGGGCCATCTCTCTTTGATAAGTTTGGCTACAGGGTTATCAATTTTGTTATTCTTTCAAGGAACCAGGATTTAGTTTCTTTGATTTGTTCTACTGTGGTTTTCTTTCTGTTTCTATATTATCTATTTCTGCTCTAATTTCTATTATCTCCCTTCTTCTGTTGGATTTAGGCTTTATTTGCTGCTCCTTTTCTAGCCCCTCTAGGGGTAAGGTTAGGTTGTGTCTTTGGGACCTTTCTTGCTTCTTGAGATAGGCCTGAATTGCAATGTACTTTACTCTTAGGACTGCCTTTGCTGCATCCCAAAGGTTTTGTTCTGTCATGTTTTCATTTTCATTGGCTTCCATGTTTTTTTTTCCTTTAATTTCTGGGTGAACCCTTTTCATTCTTCAATAGGATGTTCGTTAACCTCCACATATTTGAGGGCTTTCCAAGTTTTTTCTTGTGGTTGATCTCAAGTTTCATACTGTTGCGATGCAAAAATAGATATGGTATGATCTCAATCTTTTTGTTGAGGACTGAGTTGTGACCCAGCATGCAGTCTATTCTGGAGAATGTTCCATGCGTACTCAAGAAGAATGTGTGTTCTGCTGCTTTAGGATGAAACGTTCTGAATATATCTGTTAGATCTGTCTGATACAGTGTGTTTTTCAAACCCATTGTTTCCTTGTTGATTTTCTGCTTAGATGATCTGTCCATTACTGTTAGCTATTAAAGTCCCCTACTATTACAGTATTTTTATCAATGAGTTTCTTTATATTTGTGATTAATTGATTTATATATTTGGATTGGGGGCATAAATATTTACAGTCATTAGATTCTCTTGATGTATAGACCCCTTAATTATGAATAATACCCACTTCCTCTCTCGTCACAGTCCTTGTTTCAAAATCTAGTTTGTCTGATGTAAGTATGACTACTCCAGCTTTCTGTTGACATCCATCAGCATGATAGGTGGTTCTCCATCCCCTCACTTTATTTTTTTTTTTTAATTTTTTTTTTCAACGTTTTATTTATTTTTGGGACAGAGAGAGACAGAGCATGAACGGGGGAGGGGCAGAGAGAGAGGGAGACACAGAATCGGAAACAGGCTCCAGGCTCTGAGCCATCAGCCCAGAGCCTGACGCGGGGCTCGAACCCACGGACCGCGAGATCGTGACCTGGCTGAAGTCGGACGCTTAACCGACTGCGCCACCCAGGCGCCCCTCCATCCCCTCACTTTAAATCTACATGTTTCTTTTGGCCCAAAATGAGTCTCTGATACTTTAGGAGAGGGTTGAAATTTATTTATTTATTTTGAGAGAGAATGCAAGTTGGAGAGGGACAGAGAGAGAGAGAGAGAGAGAGAGAGAATCCCAAGCAGGCTCCACTCCATCAGCGCAGAGCCCAACATGGGACTTGAGCTTATAAACCATGAGATCACAACCTGTGTAGAAGTCAGACAATTAACCAACTGAGCCATCCAAATGCCCCAGATCTGTGTTTTTATCCATTCTGATACCCTGTATCTTTTGATTGGAGCATTTAGTTATTTACATTCATAGTGATTAATGAAAGATATGTATATAGTGCCTTTGTTTTACCTGTAGAGTTGGTGTTTCTGGTGATGTGGTCTCATTCTTTGTGGCCTTTGTTGCTTTGTCTTCCTCTTTTCTTTTGGTGTTTGTTTGTTTATTTGTTTGTTTTGTTTTGTTTTCTCCACTCAAAAGTCCCCCTTAAAATTTCTTGCAGGGCTGGTTTAGTGATCAAGAACCCCTTTACTTTTTGGTTGTGAAACTCTATCTCTTCTATTCTGAATGACAGCCTTTCTGGATAAAGAATTCTTGGCTGCATATTTTTCCCATTCAGCACACTGAATATTTCCTCCCACTCCTTTCTGGCCTGCCAAGTTTCAGTGGACAGGTATGCTGCTAACCTTATGTGTCTATGCTTGTAGGTAAGGACTTTTGTCTCTAAATGCTTTCAGAATTCTCTCTTTATCTTTGTATTTTGCAAGTTTCACTATGATATGTGGTGGTGTTGACCTTTTTCTGCATCTCCGTTATAGCATTTTTTGAATTTCATCCTGACTAATTTTAGGTCTTTGATCTCTGCAGCAAGTATTTTTCTTTTTAGAAACAGATATATTGCTTATATCTGTTTTAAGCACATCCTTGACTGTGATTTCTTCTTTACCTTTCTTTTGGGGAGAATTACTCTGTGTTGTCATTTTGGTTAATTACCTATCTTTGCCATGTTTTAAAAGCTTGTTATGTTTCCTGCACCTGAGATTAATGCTATATTAAAGGGTCCATATACTCTCCAGGGCCTGGCACTTCAGAATGTTTCTGGTGTATGCTGTGTGCACTCTGCTGTTGTGTTTTGGCTGCTCTTTCCCAGTGGTCTGTCCTCTGCAGAGATCCTCCTTGTTTGCAGTGTGGAGTGTTCGGACCTTTACCTAGGTATGATTTGATTTGTTTGTTAACATGACACTGGAAAAAATAGTGGAAAAAAAGCCTGACCCTAAAATAAGAGAAAAGGAAAGAGAACAACACCAACACACACACACACACACACACACACACACACACACACACACACAAACCAGAGAATAAGAAAACTATAAGGCTGATCCAGAGAAAAAGAAAGGTGGGAAAAAAAGAAGAAAAAAGAAAAAAAAGAACCCTCATCAAAAAAAGAGAGAGAGAAATGAAAGTAAATGAAAACAAACAAACAAACAAGAAACTTTGAGCCTGATTCCAAAAGAATAAAAGAAGAAAGAAAAAAAAAAAGAATAAATCTGGTCCTAATTCCACCAGAACTGCAGATGTCCTTTTGAAGGACTCGATTTTTAGTATACAGGGTGCTACCTATGGTGGTCTTCTGGAGCAGAGGCTCACTGCATTGGCTCAGAGTCAGTCCTGTCCCAGTTATAAGCCGTTACCAGGCACAGGGGGGTTGGGTTTGGTGTAAGGGGGTCCAGACTACACTGGGGGCCACTATGCTGCTCTCTGAAGTCCCACCATATTCGTGTTGAGCAGAAAATGGTCCCTTGGACTCTCTCATCCTGAGGCAGGAGTTCTCACACCTCCCACTATTTAGGCAGCCCTCACAGACTGCAAGGGCAGTCAGCTTGCCCTCTGCCACAACTCTCCTGTGTTTTTTCTTTGACTCGTGGCTGGGATATAAAACCCAAAGTCTGGCACCAGGCAGATCAGCTCCCCTTCTCTGAAGTAGAGCCTCTCCACACTGTGTTTGATGTCCTTGTCCCAGAAAAACGGTCCCACACCTGCGCAGTGCACAGAACCTACAGCACTGCTAAAAGCAGCAAAAAGATTATATGCCCTCTGGGTGTGCCTCTGTCCCCTGCCAATGAAAGGCCTTGTGCTTATGCCCACAGGGTCTTTTGTCTTTGGAGAGGCAATATACCGTCTTCCAAAAGTACTCCAGGAAGGGGAATGTTGTCTCCCAGGGTGTCCGTAGATTCCTACACCATACTAAGCACTCCAGGACCAGCTGCCTTCTCCTCAGGAGCATGCACCACAGATCTGCTCCAGAGGAAGTTGTGCACTTCCAAAACCTCTTGAGTTTGAGCTCCAGATGTTGTTTGCAAATAAACCTGCAACACTTAGTGCTTCTTGCACCCCAGTCTGTGGTCCAAAAAGGTTTTCCTCTTGTGCAAACCTGACACCACACTCTTTCAACCCTCTTTTTTTCTTTTCCTTTGTCTCTCCAGGGAAAGAGTTCCTTCCCCCTCTGCAACACCACCGTTTTCTCTCCCCCAGTTCACTTCTACATACCTCTCACCTGCCACGCTGTCGCCCTCAACTGTGGAGATCCTTCTTCCAGTCTGCAGATCCTTTTCCTGGGTGTTCCAAGTTATCTGACCTCAATACAACTGTGTTTAAGGAACAAGGAACTCCCAGGGTCCCCCTGCTTCTCTGCCATCTTAACTCCTCCCCGAGACTGTTAAAGTTACTTTCATTCCCATTGCTCTTTAGGGCTTCATGCAGAGCTGTGTTTCTCTACTCAGAGACAATCTTTTTTGTTAGCCCCAATCTAGATAGATAGAGATTTACATATTTGAATGAATCTGTAATCTCAGAAGAATATGGCTGAAACCAATACTCACAAATAGTTCTAAGATAGATGTTTTCTAAAATATTTTGAAGACAATTTGGTTTGGTGTTAGAGAATGCTACAAAACAAAGCTGCATCACTGGGTTTAGTAGCTTCTGTCCCTGTAAATCCTTTTAACCTGAAACCAAGCACAGCCGTTTGGAAGTTTATAAATACACATCACCTTCTTTTCCTTATTTCTCTTAACAACAACTGAACACTTATTTTCCAATCCTCTTTCATCCTTAGCTTTTGCTTTGTCTTTGTTTTTCACCAGTGCTATTCTTTTTATTTGTTGACTGACACATTGATGTAATTTATTTGGGACAATAGCTTTGCAGGTTGAGCTGTAGCATGAGTGTTTGAAATGGTTTTTCCTTCATTTATTTTTCAGGTGAATTTTCCTAGTAGTATCAGTTCCTTCAAAGACTAGTAGAAAATTGATCCTGTCATCTTCTCTCCTTTTGTCCCCTTTCAGGTCATCTCAAAAATTTGTCTTTCATACTCCTTTTATTGCATAAATCCCCCAGCTTCATGAAACTGGGGCATCTGGGTGGCTCAGTTGTTTAAGCATTCGACTTTGGCTCAGGTCATGATCTCGCAGTCCATGGGTTCAAGCCCCATATCAGGCCCTGTGCTGACAGCTCAGAGCCTGGAGCCTGCTTCGGACTCTGTGCCCGCCCCCCCCCCCACTCCGGCCCTCCCCCTCTTGTGCTCTATCTCAGTCTGTCTCTCAAAAATAAATAAATGCTAAAAAAAATTTTTTTAAGGTAAATACCCCAGCTTCATGAAATAATATGCCTTCTACTGGTTTTCTGAATCTATTTTCAAACTGCCTTTAGATCGTTTTACTAAAGGTTGTTCATATTGGGAGTACTTTCCTGTACTTTAATCTTGCCACCAAGAAGTTAGGAAAAGATTAAAATAATAAATTTTTAGAATGAATAGGACATTAGAACTAGTATGCCCTTTATTTTTTTTATTTCTTTATTTTTTTCTGATCCATGCTTCCTTTATTCCATGGCCAACCACCATGCTGTCTCCACACCACGGTACAAAGACTGGCAATCATTCACAATCCTGCTGTACAACAATCTGAGCCTTACAGTGCATTTAAGGCTTTTAAATTTGAAAAGAAAAATGAAAATAAAACCAAGGAACTCCCAAACCCAAACCCCCAACCAAGATGATCAGTGTAGCAATTTTTAAGTGTCTTCTGTTTCTGAGGCTTACTCGGTGCAGCTCCAGTGTCAAAACCCAAGTAACTCCTAAACTGAAAAGATTAGTTTAGTGAAGTTTTAATTACATAAATTCTTAAAAGCATAAACTTGTGATTCTTTTTTTTTTTTGTCTTGGAAATGTTATAACAAAATTTTAATAGCAAAGCATAGGAATAAAAACATTAACA